TTTTTTATTTTTTATTAGAGAGAGAGAGTACAAGCAGGGGGAGCGGCAGGTAGAGGGAGAGGGAGAAGCAGGCTCCCCGCTCAGCAGTGAGCCCGACGTGGGACTCGATCCCAGGCCCCTGGAATCACGACCTGGGCCGAAGGCAGCTGCTTAACCTATTGAGCCACCCAGGCGCCCCTATCACCTTATTTTAAAACTCCCTGCTACCCCACCTGACCCTCACCCCCACTATTGTGAACTCCTTAATCCCAGGGATTATTACTAGACTCCCTTTGTATCCACAATCTTCAGTTAGTAGTGAGTGCTCACTGTAGATGTCCTGAATGAATTAGTAATTAGGTGGAGCATGAGACTGCCTGGAAGTCCCCTAAAAACTTTTGGTTTCATTTTGCAGGGTCAAGATCCTCCTATACATTATTAAACTTACCCCTTTAGGGAGAGGAAAGAGAAGAACAGACTAGAACTCAAGCTCCTAGAGAAATGGAGAAAGGCCGTTGGAGTGGAATTATTGTTTAATTATATCAATGTTTATTTTTCATTTTAGTGTCTAAAGCAACATTTTAACATCACCTACATTGAAGATAAGAGAAATTCAGATTGTTTTCTGATAAATAAAATATTTCGCACATCTAATTATTATACTGGGGAAGAGAAAATAGTAACGCTTTGTATTTATACTTTTTGTTTATTGAAATCCCTTGTAGTTCCTGTAAAATGAAGGTATAAAAAAAGGTAAAGCATATTTTCTTCCAAATGGAAAAAAGACTAAATTATGGTATCAAATAGATATGGCTGATTTATTTTAGTTGACATAAAATACTGACATTAGAAGTAGGTATTATGCTGGGCGCCTGGGTGGCTCAGTTGGTTAAGCGACTGCCTTCAGCTCAGGTCATGATCCTGGAGTCCCGGGATCGAGCCCCGCATCGGGCTCCCTGCTCAGCTGGGGGGTCTGCTTCTCCCTCTGATCCTCTTCCCTCTCGTGCTCTGTCTCTCATTCTCTCTCTCTCAAATAAATAAATAAAATCTTAAAAAAAAAAAAAAGAAATAGGTATTATGCTAAGTGAAATAAGTCAATCAGAGAAAGATAATCACCATATGGTTTCACTTGTATGTGGAATATAAGAAATAGCACAGAGGATCATAGGGAAAGGGAGGGAAAACTGAATGGGAGGAAATAAGAGAGGGAGCCAAACCACGAGAGACACCTGATGCCAGGAAACAGAGTTGTGGAAAGGGAAGTGGGTGGGGGGTATGGGGTAAGTGGGTGATGGACATTAAGGAGGGCACGTGATGTGATGAGTACTGGGTGTTATACACAACTAATGAATCATTGAACACCACCAAAAACTAATGATGTACTAGATGTTGGCAAATTGAATTTAAAAAAGGAAAGGTTGTATCAAAGAATTTTATCTGTTTTAAAAAGAAAAAATTATTTTGTTTCAAATAATACTGCAAATACTGCATTATCTTATCCATTAATTTTCTTTCAAGTTCACATTAACCTGAGACAGATTTATATGAAAGTTTAAACATAAATTTTTCCTCTTTCGTCTTGAAAATACTTTCAGGTTTACATGAAACTTTAGAATTCCAGCTGACCTTCAAGGAAATCATATTTGGTAGCAACAATGTTTCACATTGAACATGCCAACTCAAACACATCAAGGAAAAGTGAAAAGAAATTCACATTTTGCCATTAGACTTGGGGACACAAGTTTAACCAATTTCTGGTTTGGTTCAGGTGAGGTCATTTATTGTAGGGTCACTTTTTCTTTTAGATTATTTGTTTGTTTGTTTGTTTAAGGGGGGAGGGTAAGACAGAGAGGGAGAGAAGAGAAAATCCTCAAGTCGACCCCCCGCTGAACAGGGAGCCTGACCTGGGGGCTTGATCCCAGGACTTTGAGATCATGACCTGAGCTGAAATCAGGAGTCGGCTGCTTGGCTGACTCAGCCACCCAGGTGCCCCGTATGGGTCACATTTTAAGAACAGCTGTTTAAAAAATTTCATACAACACTAAAAAAAAAAAAAAAAAGTTGTTACTATTGTGGCTATGAAATTGCATTCACGGAAGGAAAAGTTTTTCCTCAGAAAGATGAAACATTTGTTTAAGGACATATCAGCTGGCTGTGCAATGATTCACTTTTTTTTTTTAAAGATTTTATTTATTCATTTGAGGCACAGAGATAGAGAGAGAGAGAGAGCATGAGCAGGGGGAGAGGCAGAGGGAGAGCGAGAAGCAGGCTCCCTGCTGAGCCAGGAGCCTGATGTGGGGCTCGATCCCAGGACCCCAGGATCATGACCTGAGCCGAAGGCAGACAATTAACCATCTGAGCCACCCAGGTGCCCCAATGATTCACTTTTTGACATGTTTGAAGTAATCTAATGTATCACCAGTTATAGAACAGTTACAGTGTCTGGTGTTTGTAGAGAACTGGACACCCATTTATTTCCTCGTTTCTTTAGCTCCAGCCATCTGCCCCAGGAACCTACACTATTTTTTTTTTTTTTTTTGGTATATATCAGTACTCTATTTTTTTTTTTTTTAAGATTTTATTTATTTATTTGACAGAGAGAGACACAGCGAGAGAGG